ATTTCTCCAGCCAAGGGCAGAAAAGATTTGTCTCACATATCCCTTCCTTCCTTCCTTCCTTCCTTCCTTCCTTCCTTCCTTCCTTCCTTCCTTCCTTCCTTCCTCCTTCCCTCCCTCCCTTCTTTTTCCTTTTCCTTTTCCTTTTCCTTTTCCTTTTCCTTTTCCTTTTTCTCTTTCTCTTTTTAAAAGTCATATATGAGAGGAGCCCTATCCCCCTCCCCCTTTGCCTGCTCTGATCTCAAGGGCATCGTTCTGTAAGGTCACAAATACAGATTGGTTCGTGCCAGGGACCGCAAAGGTGGCTGCCGGTTAAGAAGATACATCATTTGACCTACCTACATACATCACCCCTTCTTTGGTCTTCTCAGCTGCTTCGGTGACTCCCTGCTTGGTCTTCTCAGCTGCGGCCACCACTCCCTCCTTAGCAATGGAGAAGCCCTTTTTAAAGACATCCATGTTGGCTGGATGGCTGGCCTCGGCAACAGTTTTGCTGAAAGCCGGTGGAAGGTTTGCCTGCCCGCTCTGTGCAGCCCTCTCGCCTGGAGACAGGCTTGCTCCGACTTCTCTGCCAGAGGAGAGCAGCAGGCACTGGGTGACTGACTCGTCCTTCCACGCTCTTATTGAGGAAACATATCACAGGGTAGCCAATGCCTGCAAGAGGTTGATGCTGAAATATTAATGACATGGATTTGCCTGTAAGGCTTTAGAGAAAGAAGCAGCAGAGAAAGGGGGGAGGAGAATAGCAAGGTAAGTGACTTTTTGGGACGGTCTTTAAATGCCCTTTAAAGAGCTACTGCAATGCTTACTCAAGGACACATGTTTTGCAAACACTTTCAGCAGGAGACAAAGGTTTTAGCTGCCCTCCCCCCAAAGCTTTTCATTTCTCGACTTTTTAAAGCAGATTTCTCACAGGAAGGTGTAGGCAAACAGGAGACTAAGGGACGGGTGGTGGGGGGGAGAGAGAAAGAGAGAAGACTGGAACCCAGCAGAGCATCACACTTTTCAATAAAGGTTTAATCTGAGCTGCAGGGTAGCTTATCACAAGTCTCAGGGTTTACAAACTAGGCTATTTCACAACTAGGGACTTGCAGCATCTTGAGAGCATCACCCAGCCATTGCTGAAGTGAGAGAAAGCTTCCTTATTGCTATTTGGCACAAGGATAGTTGGGTGACTCTAGAAGAAGCTGGAAGTTGCTCCTGGAAATGGCTGTGGTCCCCCACTAAAGAGGGTGTTTCTACCACCACCTTCCCCTTCCAAAAATGACCATCACAGATAAGAGGATGTGCATGCTTTGTCAAAAAGAGAGGGCACCCATTTCCAGTCCTCTCCTTTCACACCTATTCATGTGCGCAATTAGATGCATGCATGCAATTTTGGAAGCAATCATTACAATTTCATTGGAGTTACACTACATCTACATATATGGGGAAAGTTCATGGCCTGGTTGTTCTCTAATGCTGATAAGCAACTGAAGGCCCTTGTTCTAATTAGTATGGATTTGAGACTCTAAGGCAGACTTGGACTGGAAAAACAGAGGACACCTTCAATTAGAGGATCTCCTGCTGAAAGCTCTTCAAATACTTTTTCTTGCCAAAAATGGGCATGGTTAATGCCTTCTATGGGACTAAAAATCCATCCTCCCATAAGCATTTGGGTAGTGAAGAGGAGAAAGCTCAGCCTAAATTGTAGATTGTATTTGAAGAACTATATGGAGATATCTCACTCCACCACAGACATTATCAACCAACGGCCATTCTTCAAGGAATGTTGTTTGGTGGTCCTGTATGACATCTTCAAGCATATCAAGTTCGTGTTGGGGTGCTGCTTACACTATAAACTGTAGTCCTATGGTTGTCTGCCATAAGCCACGCTGGATAAATATTGAAGGGTAAGTATAAAAAAAACTTTGACCATGACCAACAAAATAAATATTTACAGCTTAAGATCCCAGGACCCTTAAGTTTTCATGGCATCTCACTGCCAGTCCATCTGCCCTTTGTCCAGCAAATTGACTCAGTCCTGTTTGTCCTAAGCCCCAGAATCCCATCCTTCGGCTGTTTCCCAAAGACACACTGATTTACTTGCTTGTTGTTCTCCTATTTTATACCGACTTTTGTGCAGGAGCTCTCAGCAGCATACGTAGCACTCCTTCCTCCTATTTTTCCCCACAACAATCCTCTGAGGTAAGTTGGGCTCAGAGGGAGGGACTGGCCCAAAGTCGCCCAGTGGGCTTTTGTGGTTGAGGATGGAATGCCACCTAATGTTGACTGATGTCAACATTGGCCCTGAGACACAAATGGGCTTTACTATCTATTTTCTACAGCTTGTGTCAGTGCTTGGCCAACTTGGCTTATCTTGACAATGTACTTGGATGGATGACCCCAGGAAATCCCAAGACCACAGTCTAAAGTGGAAGGGAAAAAAAAATAATCTCAGAAGAGGGCATTGTCAAATTGCTCCCAAGAAAACTTGAGTCTGGCTTAACTCAAGCAAGTCTCTTACCTTATTAGTGGACTGGGCCACCACTAGGACACGTAGCCACCCACTGTGACTGCAAGTGATTTGGAAACGTCTTCCTGGTCTAGAGTTTTGCAGAAATGATGATTTCTAAAGAGAGGGAGAGAGAGCACACAGAGCTTTTGTATTAATTTGTTGAATAAATAAAGGATAACCTACTGCTTTTGCTCATTTTGGGATGGAGGATCAAATAATTCAGTACAGCTAACAAGAAGGCACAGGTTTTGTACAAAAGCAACAGGTGTGGCAAGAGAAAAAATGAGGTCCTTATGCAAGCAAGTGCCTCTAAATAAAGTTACATGATTGATTGATTGATTGATTGATTATGTGCCATCAAGTCCGTGTGACATCTTGGTGATCAAACAGAAAGATTTTCTCCAGGAAAAAGTAGGTAAGGCAAATGCAATGCTAAAACTAGCATGCTGTTATATGAAGAGGCCGTTGCATCACTGAGATGCCACTTGGGACTGAAGTTCCCCAATGAACGGAGAGAAACAACCAAGAGAACCTGATGCAATAGAAAGCCAGTTTCAGTGATAGATAAAAGCAGCAAAACCATATCTGAAAGTTGGAGATTAGGAGAAAAGACTGGCCAAAGAAACAAACAATGGGTAAAGAGGGGGCAAGCTATTTCTCTCCTTTAAATTATAACATCTCCTGGAGTCTTTCAGATATATAGGAGAGACTTCGATACGTCCATTTGAGTTCTCCACTGAATGTTCATCTCACCTTGGTGGGCCCCTGTAGGCCAATAGGCATTTGATAATGGAGTGTTACTGCCCGTTCTGGATTTGCGGGCCAGGCATTCAAACTGGTCACACTGAGGGTTTCTAAAGCCAGTCCTATTTGCCCTTGAAAAGGCAGATTGTTGGCAGCCTTGCAGAGAAGGATGGTTTTGCCTCTGGACTTCAGGCAGGGAATCCTCACTGATCATCACTGCAACGAATAAATAAAATATTGATTTCTGCTGAAATTAATGCTGCATTGCTGTAATCGATGTATTGCTATTGACCAGGTCTTAATTAAGGCAAAAGGGTTTTCTTTTTCTTGCAATCGTTCCCTTCCCCTGTTGACCTTGGCTGGCACCTCAGAAAACTCTCCGAATTGTCCAGCATGGGACATACACAGGGAGATATCAGGCCTGTAACAGCACTGGACCTTTTTATGCACAACCCGGCACAGCTGAAACTGAACAGCCCGTGAAAACTGTACCAAAACCTCTACAAAGGTTCAGCCATTGGAAACTCTTGCCCCACCCACTTTCCACCCCCATTATTGAACCCATATTCCATCCCCCAAGTAGCTGGTTGATTTCTGTGAAGCATGGAGGCTGCCAATTACTTAATTCCAAGGGCCACAATATGACCACCGGTCATATAGGCAAAATGGTGGCTGTGTGATCAAAGTCCCATCCTTTTTTACGTATGAAATGCGGTCGATGTATTGATCTCACCCCCCCACCCTCCCGTGGATGTCCCTGTTCCAGACCAGGGTGGTTAATATTGCCAAAAGCTTAATTAAAATCCAGAGTTCTCCAGTGCTTGTTCTATTTCCCTCATCACCATTTCTCCTAGCCACTATTTTTTGCATCTTTTCTTTCAAATGTCTGTTTTTATAAATCATCCTCAGAACAAACCTCTGAGAAGTCCTTGGTCTTATTTTCGATTCCTTGCTCCCTCTGCCCCCTTTTTAACCCTTCCGAAATCCCATCCCTTCGCTGAGAATGGACATCCTCTGGCCCCACATTCTTTGAGTTTCCATTTTATTTAAACATTTCTTGTCTTTTGAAGTTTTATTGGATCTGATAAAACTCAACCAGTGCTGCTGCATCTGGAAAAGTTTGCCCCCCACCCCGAAATAAGGGATTGCATTTTATTAAAATATTAACCTGTTGAATAGCCTAATGTTGAAGTGTTGGGCTGGAAGCGTTCCTGTGGCTTGGACCAGTTACGCCCTCTCAGTTCATCCTACCATACAGGTTGTTGTGGTAGGGATAAAATTGGGGAAGACTCCAGTAGAGGCCACTTTTACTCTCAGAGAAATAAAAAAATAAAAAGGAATAAATTATACATTGACACTTCGGTTGGCATGTATTGGTCAATTTAATTTTAATCTTACAGTCTTTGTTAATCTTCAATTCTTTTTGCACTTTAATTCTGCTTATGTAAATAAATTAGCAGCAACCTTATTATGGGATAAAATGGACCCGGTTGAATCAAATTTAATGTCTACTCATCTCTGCTTAATTTAGTTAACCTTTTCATTAATTTGATACATGCTAAATTCAGGTTCACTTCTGCATTCTCCCTCCCAAGTAAGGAACTGAAAGCCTTGTTCGGTTTAATCGTGCCATTAACTTCCTTTCCCTACAACGTTGCTTGGAAAGACTCTCTTTCTTCAGCGCTTGGCTTTGGATGCTCAGCCTTCACTGCACCTTACGTGATTCACCTTCTACAAGGTGATTCTCAAGGTGTGCTTTGCCAGATGCACTTTACTACAGCCCTTAAGAACATGCTCAGTCAGGCTCTGGGCTCTGTTGTAAATTGATGTGTGAAGGAGCAGAAATGAGGCTTGCTAAAGTAGCCTTCCCAGCCTGGCACCTCCTGGATGCATTGGACTACAATTCCTAGCATCCCCAACCAGCTTGGACATTGGATGCAGGTGCTGAAGTCCAAAGTCCTCTTCAAGTTGAATGTGACTCCTGGTGACTTCACGGGCAGGTATAGCATGGAAGTAGTTTGCCAGTTCTGCTTTCTAAATGTTGACATCCTGCAATTTTTCTGGTGGTCTCCCGTCCAAATATCTGTCTCGGCTTAGCTTTTGGAGTCAGCTGAGACTGCCACCTGCTGTGGTTGCCCATTGAAAAAAAACACATCAATGTGGCCACAGTTGTTCTAACATCTGGTAATTGCCACATTGCTTTCAAGGTGCTTCCAGAATGACCTCATGACCTGCTCTGCTGTCTTCCCAGATGCTGGTCAAGTTAACCAGTCTGTGGTTCACAGCAAATGCCTATTCATTGGATGGAAAACGAAATATGAAGATAGCCTTCCAAAGCTAAACTTGACTTCTGAGGACCATACGAAAACGGTTCACCTTCCAGTCTAGCCTTGAGTCCACCCCACATTTCCAAGTACTAACTGGCTCTATCTCATAGGTGCTCTAAAAGGATCCAGATTATTAGGGAACCCTGTTCTGATATCGCACTGCTTCTGGAGTGGAGGAACCCAAGAAGGAAGTGACAGCTATCTTTGAAGTTCAGGTCTCAGCGGCTTCTGCAGATGGTTTACCTATTTTTGGATGAGTGTATGCGTGCATGGAACAGGAGGATGTTTGCTTCCTAAAGCAACTTACATTGGATTTTCTATAAAACCTAATTATAGAAATTATCTTTTATTTTCCTTCCACCGGAAGAAAAGAGTTAAGAGTTTGTTGATTTAAGAAAACATACCTTAGGATGTATAATACAAAGCACCTGATGAAACGCCTCCATTCCTGAGCCAAAATCATATTTGAGCATTCGAAGGAGGATTCAGGAAATTAAACTATGTTTTAGCATTTATTTAAAGAGGGATGTGTATGCCCTGTGTTAAAAGAAACACCCAACTTGTGATGAGGTCACCCCAAATTTTGTACAATTGGCAACCCTTTTGCACTGATTGGCAACCCTTAGTGCCACAGTGGGCTTATTTTGCAGAAATTGCTCTTCACTGTTAACATTTGAGCATAACGTCTTTGAATTTGGCTAAAGGACTTTGCGGAGAATCTCAATCAGTGGAAAAACTGCTTTGCTTACTGACATATTAGGTGCTTCTTTACATAATTAAAGATAGAAACTTGTTGTTGTTATTAAGCAATGAAAACCAAGATTCAAATGAAGCTGATTTATAAATCTGTAATGTTTTGGATTCCTTCTCATTCTCTCAATGGCCTTCAGTAACCAACCTTCCTTCCTTCCTTCCTTCCTTCCTTCCTTCCTTCCTTCCTTCCTTCCTTCCTTCCTTCCTTCCTTCCTTCCTTCCTTCCTATCCAGAAGATACTTTGTATGACCTAAACCACTGAAATGAAAGGAGCAATATTTATACAGCAATTAATCTTGCATGCTCTGTAGTCATTCTTTCTCTGTCTCTCTGTCTCTCTGTCTCTCTCTGTCTCTGTCTCTGTCTCTCTCTCTCTCTCTCTGTGTCTGTGTGTGTGTGTGTGTGTAATTAACATGATCTTTACAACAATTCTGTAAGGCAGATTATTATCAGGATTCCTACATTCCTGGGGATGAAACTGGAAAAAAAATCAATTGTTTAAAGGTACTCAGTGCAGTCTAATCTGGAGCAGTGCCCTCAAAATTCTGCATTTTGATCTCTATAAAGTGCTCATTTTGAGATCTTTGGTCCTCAGTCCTTCCGTCTGAACCACTCTTAGATCTCTGACCTGCAAAATAATGCTTTTGCCAGCTGTCCGTGGCATCTGCCCGTGGCACCTTCAACACTTCCAACACTGCTATGAATTCAAAGATGTTTTGTTTCATTTGGCTTTCTGAAAATGCTGTGAAAACGTCTGAGGATTCTCAAGAGTCATTTTACCTGGAGTGGAAGTTGATGATAAGAAGAAGCTGAGCATGTTCTGGATAAGTCAAGAGAAGCCCGAGATGTCTTTTCTTTAAGAACAACAGATGCAAAGGCCACTGTCATTAAAAAACAGACAGGCATTGCTGGCTAGGAGATAGGACATTTTCTTTACTGGCCATGATAATAAGTGTTCTTTAAAATGTATTTATTAATGTTATTATACTAAACTAATTGTTGTATTTTAAAGTAACATTTAATTGTATTTAGAATAGAGGTTTTAGCTGTATCGCGGATATTTTAAATTTGGTATTGACATTGTTGATAACTACTAGGAGTCCTTTGTATGTTCAGTGATACACCGATGTGATAAACACATAGATAAGAAAAGAATAGATACATATATTAGTATTAAGAAAATAATATTGTTTCAAAATTAATAATCATGATCTTAATTATGAAAGAGAAAAAGAGGGGCGTGAATACTATGTTATAAACAGAACAACTCCCCCCAAATTGAAACTCTTCCTCCTTGCTTTTTGCCAAGAAAAGAAATCCAGCTACTTCAAATATTGACGACCAACATGCAGTGCTTCAGCAATCCATTGGTGCCAATCAAATATAGATTGCTCTTCCAGTGTTAAACCATGGGAAATGATGTCCTGTAACTTAGCTCCATGCTTGTTCATTTACATTCATAATTTTGTCTCCCACCTTTCTGCTTCCATAAGCATTCAAGGCAGCTTGCAATTTAGACAAGACCCAGGCTCCAGCTTTTTTTGGCAAGGCGTCTGACCCCTTGGCTAGAGGATCTGACTCGTTTTAGAGATGTAGACCTGCCTTGTAGGTCCCTGCTGCCAAGTGCCAGGATATTCTATGATATTCATCTTGGGAATCTGCTCCAGCCCTCAATATTTACTTTTCCTTGCCTGCTAGTTAAAGTTAACATCCTTTTCCTGTATCCCAGCAAGAAGGCAGCTGATAAAAAAAGGCTGTGTTCCTGTGTGTTTGTTGATAAGTCCAGAAGCAAGTCAAAAGTAAGATTTGCCCCCTTGAATCAACCACAGCTTGTTCCATATAATTCTCATACATACATCGCCCACACAGAGGTCCTTTGCGCTCCCACACAGGAACCTATTTCACATTGTCATCTGACCTCTGACATTTCCACCGTAGCTGGGAGGGTCAACATTTTAAGCTTCCGCTCTTTGTTAGCGGTATCGTTCCTTGTTCCACGTTTCAGTTAAAGGAACGGGACGAGGCAGGTTGTAGGAACAGACTGATTTGAAGTTCAGAGAGGTCTCAAGGCGTTGAGAAGAACCGAGGATGCTAACTACAATTTTACTGCTTTGTGGGGCTGTTGGGCTGCTGAAATCAGACATGCATTCACGGTATCCAGGTTATCACCATCCCAGGCAAGGGCCAGAAGTTCATCAGATGCCTACACCTCCACAACCTTCTTCTCCAGCTGAGGAATTCTGGAGAAGAGAGTCGGTCCAAGAGGAAACTTCCAATACTGAGGCAGAAGCGGGTGATTCTTACCCTGGAAGTCAGCAACCCAGAAATGAGTAAGTATTGGCCAAAATGACATCTCACGTGTTCCAATTTGCAATGTACTGGAATGGCACTCGATTCTTTATTCTGGAATTGCAAAAAGAGCTGGGGGATTTAAATACCTATTCTAGAAAAGGACGCTGTTTGTTCCAGAATTTGACTGCATCTGATATCCATAGAGTAAGTACAAACATAATGCAGCAGGTCAATCTTTTCATTCTGCAACCCTATTAGAAACCCAGAGCAAAAGGATAGGGACCCAGACCCAAATCTCTGATCCTCAGACTTCTTTATGTCACTACAGACCATCTACATATTGTTGGTGGAGCTGGCAAATTACTTAAGAGCATCACTTTTTGTCCTATAATCGAAGCACACACAACGCTACGCCTTTCCTGACCTAGTGCCTTCTAGATACGTAGACTATGACATCCATCATTCTTGACCAAGGCAGGCAGATTAAGAGACTTAAGCTGCACTTAGATGGGGACAACACTGAGAAAGTCCATCGCTGTCTGCAAATCAGTGGAACAGAGCTTAGATTTACTGATTTGCATCACATTATTTTTTGTTTCATTCATTTATTCAATTTACAGCCATAGACCAAAACACAGAAAGAAAATTAAAAAGAAAAGAAAAACCATGTTTGTTGTTGTTGTTTAAAAGCCAACTAAAACAAAACAAAGCAAAAAGAGAGTAAGCAGTTAGGATTTTTTTTTTTTAATCCAGGGGCAAAGTGTTTCTCTTGCTGGATCTGAATTTGGCTTCTCATCGCCAAGGCAGCAAAGCAGAATTTGGCCGCTGTCAGAGATGTAAGATTGCACTGATCAGCCAGCAGTAGTTGAATATAAAAAAGATTTATGTGTCCTGAGAAATCCACTAAATGAGGTGCAATGTACTGTTCATAATATCTCTGCAGAAGAGGCAATGTAATAAAATATGGTTTAGGGATTCTGCCGTGTTCAATCCACAAGGATATCACGGGTCATTATAAGGAACTCTTTTGAAGAGCTTTGCAAGCCAGCATTGGTGGAGCATCACAGCAGGACAGGGTGAGGTTTTGCTACCTCGTTCAGGTAGCTCGCTGGTTTCCATGAGGGTGGAGTTGCTTAAGAGAAGATGGTTAGGTAAGGAGGTGGAGCCAGTTGACCATTCTCTATCCAATGTACACGTTGATATCAAATCTTGATATCTATCTGTTCTTTTTTTTTTTTTTTTTTTGATCAGTGTAAATGCTCATATTGGCTCCATTTGCAGTATTTAGTGAACATTTATTCATCTCCTGACTTTAAGTCAAGGCAGCTTACAATTAAAAAGAAACGCAGGAAGAGAGACAAACCAAGCAAATGACAGCAGTGTGCAACCATGTAATAAGGAAAACACATTAACTGAATTAAAATATGTGGGAAATCTGGACTGGGAAAAATCAGGTACTTCTGTGTCTCTTTGGTTTGGAGATTGAAGTGCATATTACTTTTCGTTGATATCAGTGGGATTTCACACTTCTAAATCATGGGTTTGCAGACTTGGTGAGCCAAATCATGATTGCCATCATTAGCCAGTCCTTGTCCTAGATCTTCCGATGACTCTAATAGGAATGTGAACAGGTTTCCGCAGAGCCTTCAGTGAAATAAATGTGCTCTGTGTACTTTTTTTGCATTGACTGTCTCTGCCACTTTTCAGAACAGGACAATCCTTCAAGGAATGGAGAACCTCAGTATATATACTGCAGTAGTTCTGGCCTCACGTTTGCAGGCCTTCAACCAAGATGTTTGTTGTGACTATCTCTTCTTCCATATTGCCAGCTACTTGCTGTCCTTCATCCTCTGGGCCAAATCCCCAGAAGGAGGGCACAGGAGAGATCAGACAAGTCATAGCAATTGCTGTTCTTTCTGGTAACCCCCAACAATAGTTGGTGCACTCTTCTTGGCCAAAAAGCTAGAGCAGGTTAGAGAAGTAACAAGGAGGTCAGAGCTCTTGGTGGCAAGCAGTGAATCTCCTCCTGGGGTATGGGCCTTGGCAGGTGTTTATATGGCTGAAAAAAGATGGTAGGAACTATGTAGCCCCTCTTCCCATTTACCAAGCCCAGCAGGAATGTATAATAGTGGTGTTCCAGAGCTAAAGGGTAGAGAAGGAAAACTGTGTACAGTATTTTCAAGGCTTCCCAAAACAGTGCATTTGGGAGAGATGCAGAGCATGTCCATGGTTCCTGTCTGATAAAATATAAAAATCTTGAGGAAAGAGGGATGAATGCTTTGTAACAACACACTTCATTGCTAGGCTACTCCTGGGAAGTGACCTACTTCTTTGTATTTATGGTCAGTGCTGCTAATGCTTTGTTCCTTTACTTTCAGAAGGGTGAGTTCTCATAGCCAGACTCTTCTTTGATGGATATAATGGGCAAATCCAGGGAGAAGTCATTTCCTTTCTTATGGTTCTCTAAAAACAAGAACAAAACCCACTCTTCCAGAAGATTAGTTTCCCTATTGCAGATTCTCTGAACCTGATGTCTTCCAGATGTCCTGGAATGCAATGTTTCATCCAGCAATGGAAGAAGGGTACTTGTAGTCCCACATCTGGAAGATTCCAGCTTAGAAGGGATGCTCTATTCATTTTCTTCCCATCTTTTTTGTTCTTGTTGGGCATGTAAGTAAGTTTTCCCAGGACCCAGGGAGCCCCAAGCCAACCAAGTGGTCCTTTCAAGGTCTTGTCTCAGTGTCTGGAAGCTATCAGGATGGAGAGGAACAGACTCAGGCTCAACCCTGGCAAGACTGATGGCTGTGGATGTTGGTGTCACCCAAGACTGGGGAGCTTCCACTTTTAGTTCTGGATGGACTCATACTTACTCATTTGAGACTGGTGCAAAACTCAGGGGTTTTCTGGACTCTTAGTTCCTGCTCAATGACCTGGTAGCAGCTCTGGCCAGGAAGGTGTGCTAGTTGTGTTCTTTCCAGTAATGAGAAGTCCTCCTCACAGTCACTCATGCTTTGGTCACCTCTTGTGTGGACTATTGCAACATGATCTACATGGGGCCACCCTTGAAGTCCACTCAGAAGCTACCACTGGTCCAGAACGCAGCAGCACTACTGTGATGGGCAAGCCTTGCTATGCCCATGTCACATCCCTGCTTCAAGAATTGTGGTGGTTGTCACTAAGCTTCTGGGTGTAATTCAAAGTGCTGGATATCCCCTATAAAACCCTACATGGCTAGGTCCTGGCTACTTGAGGGACCATCTGTCTTCTCTGGTTGCTGCCCAGCTTATGTGGTTCTTCCTCCAGTCCTCAGGCAAGGGTGAATGATGTCAGCCCTTCAAGGTGAGCCAGGTCAGGAAACAGACACTACAAGAAATATTAGACTTTGCTGATGTAGGCTATTGTAACAGGATTTTGAAAGCCTGACACACTTTCTTCTTCCCTCCCTCTTCTAACCAAGAGAGTCAAGGTGGGGCAATCTTGAGTTTCTTTCTCACACTTCTCTGTTCTCCTGAGTTAAGCTTCCTAACAGTTGCTGTGTATTTTTTCGAGGGCATCTGTGTACTCTCCTACAAGCTCAGGGCTCCGTGAGTTCATTTTTTATCCAAACCTAATCATTCCCTCTTAGATATGCAAAAATATCTCCAAAAAATCAAAATCCATTCCTGCTATCTAATTTTGTCTCATCTCTAAACTATTAGTCAGTATCACCTGTTGCCCTTAACATCAATCTGTGCGGTTCTTTGCAGATTTTTTGTAATTTCCAGCATTAAAAAGGTCCAAGGCCGCTTTATTATTCATTCATTTCTGATTACAAAACTTTGCCTTTCTCTGCACATGTAATCAAAGAAGCTATATTTATGGTATCATCAGTGTGCGAAGTTCTTTACAGATTTTCACGGAGACATTTTATTCATATTTCTTATCCCAAAAGGCTATCATTCTGCAGACATAAAATCTAAGCAGCTAACGAATCAGCACAATGCACGAGCAATGACAGTAACAGAACCATCCATACCCTCATCTGAAGCATCTTTTCCCAACCTATCTCCTTCCAGATTATAGTCCTCATCAGCTCCAGTTGGCATGGTCAGCAAGCATGGAAGCTGTAGTCCAAATCAGCAGGGGTGCCAGCTTGAGGAAGGCTAACAGAAACAGGGATCAAAAGCGGTAGCCGTCAGCAGCCAGACAATGTCCAACCAGGTAGTCATTACTGAGAGACAATAAGGAGGGAGAGAAGACATGTTAGATAGAGGGAATGTGAGCAAACAGAATTTCATGGACAACAAAGCACTGGGTTTAGGCACAATCCCAAGGTTTAAACTATAATCGGTCTTTTGGAAGAGATGGTCCTGCTTCTTCACAACTTGAGATCCAGTAGTAGGAACTCCATTTAAGGATTCTCACATCATCTGCTGCATTGGCTCCATTTCCTGAAAAGTAACAAGAAGTGGTAGTAAAGATAGTAATGAATTAAGTCAGAAAGATACATGAAACAGCAAGGCAAGCACTTGTCCCATGGAAACACTTAAACCTAACCGTGAAATGTTCATCATCTTCTTGGCCCCAGTGTCACTTGGCCCCTTGCCCAAATAATCCTTTCTTTTCTTGCTTGCATTTAATTGTGTTGTCTCTTATTGCTTGAAAGGAACATGCTCCACTCCAGCAAGGTGATCCAAGCCTGAAAATAGCCTTCTGATATATGGCTCTACCCTTTAGGATGTTCATTTAGGTCCCCTGGCCAGGCTGCATGCATCTTAGATGGGAAGTCATAATTGCAAATAGATGCTGCAGTTAATTCTGGATGAGGGGCAGAAGCTCTAGGCTTCCTGTTTGTGGGGCTCTTCAAAATGGATTTGATTGGAGTCATCACATGAAATGAATATGATGATCTAAATGAGGCTTTCACATATGAAAGTGGTGCCTATGCTGAAATGGCCCCTCAACTGTAAGTGTGAGAATGTAATCAGAGGAAACAATTAGATTGCCAGATGGAGCCATCAACCAACCCTATATAAATAAATCCCAAGGACGTCCACAT